GGCAGTAGTTACCGTGTTTCCCTTTCCCCTATTCCAGTTTCCACCGCCCGGTACGGAGCGTACGAGAGTTTCTAAGGTTTCTGCAATTTCCCGTTAGATGGCGATGTAAATTGGCCAGTAAAAATGGCGGTTTGTGATATTCTAGTTAGGAAAACATTCATGAATTTGGAAATATTTTTACAAAAAGTAAGAATTTGTCGTTATTAAACAAATATATTTTATGATTGCATAATCTGCATTGTAATTGGTGAAATGTAAATCGGTTTATTTAATTTTATTTTGAAACAGTTATAGTGGTAACGTAAAGAACAACCAGCATATTTTCTTTATATTACAACATATTAAAAAAAATCAGAAATGAAGTTAAGTATACTTATGCTGCCAGTCACGCCGACTTCTGATAGGGGAGGCACTGGTGCTACTGTATTGTATTTATTACACGTTCCAGCACATCCATACAAAGCCGAAGCCATTGGATACTGAACCTGTCACACCACAAGCTTGCTAAATCAGCAAGTAGTCAACAGAACAATGCATATAAATCCACAACAATAAATCGAGCATATGAAACCCTACACCACTGCAACTACATAACCTACCATGTATATATAAAATATAATACAGAATTGGAACATATACATGACAATAGATAAAATAATGGGTCAGCTAAACAAGAAACTGTCCCTAATTAAAATATTCATCTAAAGTGTAATAGGATTTAGTATGTAAAAAGGCACTTAAAGCTACCCCTCTGTTACTTGTATTTGGTCCAGATAGTCTCCTCAGCATCCTGTTCTCAGATACTTTGAATCCATGGTCTTTCCTTAATATAAGAGACCAAGTTTCATACCCATACAAAAATGGATTAAATCATAGTTTAGTATGTTTTAATCTTTAAATTTTTGGAGAGGGATACAATAGATTCTGAGCTGAGTGACAGTAAGGAGTCTCCGAAAATAATGTGCTCATAGTTTCTTCATGATTCAGTTTTGATTTCTTGTACCGACATTCCCAAGTATTTGAACTCTGCCGCTCATGCTGGATTTGTGTTTCGTACACCATTGACTATGAAGAGTATGGTCTTCTGAGTTGTAGTGCCAAGTAATATGGAAGAAAGCTTGATGTTTTGGAGGAACATATCAGTTCCATCTTCAGGGTCAAAGTGTAAGCCAAGCAAGAAAGCAGCCACCTGTTTTTTTGGGGGTTCCCCTTTGACCTGGAATGTGGAGGCAAGAGAGCCACCTGCTTTTGTTCAGGTTTCTTGTATACTTAGTCTTCAGCCATGAAGATGGAAGTGATATGTTCATTATGCTTTTTCTGAACTACATATTGTTACAACCCACAAGAGAGTGCTCATAATATATTGTCAATCTTATGTTATGATTTTATCCCACATTCTGGTGGTGAGTCATGAACACATACATAGTTTTCTGGGTGTTTACATCTAGACAGACCTCATTAAGAGCCTGTGTTTCCCTGCATGACATATTATTGCCCTATAAATTAAGACCAGAAGTTGATGTTTCTTTTCCCTTTCAGTTACATCCGATTTTCCTTGGCCTTATTAATGGCATATTCTAAATCAAGGTTGATAAAGCATCTCCTTGTTTCTGGCTATTCATATAGGAAACATATCAGAGTAATTTTTACCTGTATGGGCATTACTGTAGGTTTACTTTAAACATGTTCTAATTAACCTAATTAATTTCATGGATATACAAATTTCAATGATAATGTTATATAATACCCCTCTTTCAAGTCAGATGTTTATGAATTGAATAAATATCTGTTGTACTGTTCCACTGTACTCCCATTTTCTCTCCAGAATGTTACAAATTCAGAATATCTGATCAGTATTTGTATTTGTATTTATTGTAAGTTCAAGAGATCCAAAAATGGATATAGAGCATAGAATACATACATAGTTATTACACAACTAGACAGTACAATGAATACAACAGTAATAAAAGTTATCTATTTAGATATTCATCCACAGTATAAAACGTATCAGTGTTCAACAATGCCTTAATACAACGTTAAACTTTTTAAAATTATAAAAAAAAAATTTTATTGAATTTATTTGCATTCCATAAACCCTAAGCAGGATAATACCTTTGGATATAGACCAAGTCAAAAGAATACCTACTGGTACAAGTAATTTTATCTTAAACTAATATAGCTTAATTCTACATTAGTCTCTATTTACATTGAGGTATTCGTCTACAGAGTAGAAGGAATGAGCATGCAGATATTTCTTTAGCTCTAATTTAAAATGTTTATTATTATTTCTTCCTTATTCCATTATATCTATAGTAGGCAAAAGCCTTAGATACAGAATTGTGTCAATTTATCTTGCTAATACTCTTAAGCAGTTGTCAAGAAGACTTATAAAATAAGACAATGTATGTTTACATCATAATACAATTTCTCTCTAGCATAATACGTTAAAATTTAAGATAAAAGTTTCCATCAAAGGTAACAGCATATTTTGGTCATATAGCTTAAACATATATAACAAATCCAAGATATAAAAACATTACATTTATAAAAATACAAAATTACAATTTCATGATGACCA